ATCCCTTAAGTACAGGGATTTCCCTAGGCCACAAACTACTCCATACCTGGGGGATAAAGACACAGAAAGAGCCTACAAGTATCTAGAGATCACAAAGAATCCAAATAATGGGTCGAATCCCACAGATGACTAACCAACCAAGACTAATGGTCATAATTCTCTCGACCCCCATGTGTTTCCACAACACATGCTCTTTTGGTACTGCAAAGTCTATGGGAAGAGGCCCCACTCGTGTGTGCCCGATTTTTGAGATGCCACATTTTGGTGGTTCAACAATGCGATGAGCAAGTTAAATTTTTGTTCCAAATCTATTTGACCTCATAGTCTTCCAATTTGTCTTCCACTTATATCTTTTTTATGAAACTCTGATAATTTTGATTAAGTGCATAAAACTATAATATACATTGTTATTCAATTTCCAAGGACACCAATAAGTGTGATACATATATGACCTCACAAAATATTTGTTTAATTAACTTAGAGAGAGGAGAAGCAAAACTAGCGTTTAAGTGAAAAAGCGGCCAACACCACAGCAAACAAGTGCATACATCCATGGAATATTATATCCCGACAGGATTTTTATTCTTGATGGTAGCAGCATAGAACACCAAGAGCATGTTCTTACCTCCACTCCATCATTTTTCCCATCATCATACGTGTAATTTGTACATAGGTGTTTTGCACAATGCCAGCCTCGTAGTGTGCAGCTCTCAACACAACCCACTGATAGACATTGACGCCTCCATACATGTGAGATCCCCCAAAGGTTGGCCTCTGCACACGTGGCTGACCATGTAGGGGAACCGCCTAGGTGGTGCTTCGTCGCCTCCATGTGCAACATATATGTCAAGCCGATTGTGTGCAACTATGTACAGAAGCAATGCACTCCTACCCTTCCACAAATATTGCCATTCCCACATATTCAGGTCGTGTTCCAAGTCAGTTGAAAGATATGTTGCTGAACATAGAGTGCAAATTATTAATCTAACAAGAGCGTGATATCCTTGTTTCTTTTCAATATATCACAATATCGACAACTTGTGAGTGCCATACCCTGGAAAAACATTCAGCTAGAGTTGTAAGGTTGCATTGTAGCTCTGCATGTGCACTTGTCATGGGGATGGCGTCTACTTGGCCGCCATTCTTAGAATGTCCATTGATGTTACTCAACAATATACAATCATCATGAGATATGCCAACAATCACACCAATGCAGTCCCTTGCGTCTTAGTTACCCATGACCTGCTTGGGTTAGATATAACGGTTGCAAGAACATAGAAAAAGTCACCATCTAGTGGCACAAGTTCGAGCAACTCTCCACTAACCATCAACACAAATTTTGAAGTGAAGCTGAATCGAGCCTTGCAACCCAGTGTGAAATCATGTCCATCGTGTCAACCATAGTGCTGGGTGGCTTGGACCACCATCCAAGATAATCAGTGTTTGCCTCTTTTGTTTGGGGAAATCAGTTGCACTCCTAATTCTATGCTAATGAGCAGCTGCAAGTGGGGTATTAGAGGACAACCATGGTGGAGCCCATGCGGCATGGAACGCATCGATAACTAAAAACATTTGCCACAACTTCACTCCTTTGTGCTAAGCATTCCATCACATAGTCAATGTCACAATATGGGGTTACCGGCTGGCTTTATTGCCACTTGTTGCTGGTCCCCGGGTGCCGCTTTCCCATGGTTGAAACATGGGGCACGCACCTTCTCCCGCACGGGCAGTTACTACTCGGCCATAAACTCACCCAAATCCTTTGCGAACATCTCCACTTTCAATTCGCCGGCTTCAAAATGCCACCTTGGTCTGGACGGAGTCACAGTTCCGAAATGCCAACAAAGGAGACCTGCCCTGCGGGCGCCGCGGTCAAGCCCGGAAACTGGGCGTTATGCTACCAATCGAACTTCACCGCCGAAAAGTCCAGCAAACGAGACTGTCACCAGTGCCAAGTTTCAATCCCTTGCACTGCCGGCTGGAGACAACAGGCCCACCATGATATTAGCTTGCTTGCGTTTGCAAGGTGCTCCGCAATTGTGCACTACCATTGGATGGAGCGCAGCTACGAGGCGACTGGTCCCAACCTCATGCTCCGCGCTTACAGTGGGCCAAGAGTCGCCAGGAGGGAAGCGCAAAAGGCATCGCATTGTAAATGTTGTCTACGTCCGGTCAGAGGCCATGGAGAAAACCGTGATGTGATGTTCGGGCTGTGCAGCTCGCTCGGAAACCAGTTCGAAGGTGCACACAAATGGATTGGAAAAGTTCATCAGCACGCTGTGTTGGGGGTGCTGGGTTGGCCGACGCTCACCACCCCACTAAAGGAACGCGGCAAATACCTGAAAGGCAGAAGCCAAAGGAGAAATCATTCACAACCGGGGATAGGAGTCTGCAGGATGTAGTGGGCTTATTAATAAAGAACACTAGGTAAGCCGAACCTGCTGTAGGTGGGTCAGCTCGGTGGCGACTGCTTGATGGAGAGCGCTCCTTTTACCTGCCGGCTTTGGGCCTATTAGCCATCGGTGATCTCAATGGGGCTTGGGTTGACGCCCAGCATTGCATGGCAAACTTGTGTAGAAAACTGTGGCGACGAGCTGTGTTTGTTCAGGCTTGAAGCTTTTGGTGTCCAAGATTTGGGGGTGGAACTATATGCAGCAAGTGAAGGGGCTGGTCGCCCGTATGCCCGAACATGCATCGTTACGATGCACATCTGGAAATTGGGATGGAGTTACAGCAACGTTGACGGGCCTTGATGGTAATGTGACCTTGCGTCAATCGTATTCAGCGTTGATGCAGGGCCTACGCATCAGCGTGCCAGCAACGCTCTGAGAGCTTGTTCGTCAACACTGCTGGAACACTTCCCTGGCAATGTTGCAACAACGGTGAGGTTGCCATCAGCGTTGCTGTGAGACCTCCCACATCCAAGTTGCGTCAACATGCAGACGATCAGTTGTTATCAATGTTTCTGGAACCCTGGGTTGCCAGCAACGTTGACACAATGCGTGTTATTGAAAGGCGCAACAACGTTGACAGAAAACCCCACTCTTTCTGCTCTGTTGGAAGACCCAACGCTCTTGGTGCTGGCCCAAGGGCTCAAGTGTTCGCTTCACGGACACAGTGGCGAGGTCTGCTGGGTGAGATACAAATTAAGTTGTAGCTGTTCGATTTTCGGCCTCGGCTGTTGTGCGGTGGCTTTTGCCATTTTGTTGCCCCGTTTCCAGGAGAACGGGCCTCCGGGACGTCCGCCCCAACACACACGATATGCGTGCATGGCGGGGCAGGAGGTGCGTGGGGATGCTGGGCATGCGGGTGGGCTGGGAATGGCTGAGGGCAGCGCAAAGTGTAGCGGCACACTCGGCGTTTTTGCAATTCACAAGTTGTTGGGCTTGCCCAAACGGGGAGTGGGTGGGCTGGGCCAGATGGGGAACCGGCGAGGATCGCCCCTGCTAGGCGATCTCCAGTGCAGGCGGGCATGGACCGTGGGGTTGCGCCATGGCAAGCCACAGCCATTGGCGCGCAGTGTGGGCCTGTGCGCAACGCATTTGAATGGGCGGCTGTCGATGCCAATGGAGACGCTGGGGCTCCCCTTGTAAGTCAGTGAAGAAGTGTGCTAGAGGCGGGAAGGATCCTCGGCTGCTCCAGGCAGCCCGTGCTGCCTTCGTTCTTGGGCTGGCACAGCACGTGGGCTCGCAGGGGCCCACGGCTTGGGCTTTTTTCGGACTGGGGGTGGCGGCCATACATCGGAAGATTTCGAGCCCTGACGCTGCTCCGCCACCAGCTGCTCTCCGCCCCTCCCCCGTGTAGGCAATGTTTTCGCCTCGAAAGGCGGCGATCCCGCAGTGCTGGCGGCGGTGGCGGCGGCGGTGGCGGCGGCGGCGGCGATGTGCTGTGAGAATGTGCGCGGCATGGGCGATGGCACCGGGGTTACCGCGAGGTGAGGAAACCAGATGTGACTTGTGGTTGTGAGTGGCGGCGGCGGCCCCCCCGTCCTCAACAACAGGAGCATGCATCCTGAACCATGCGCGGCGCCTATCGTGGGAGTGGGCATGGTGCTGTCGCGTGCTGATCCCGCTGAGCTCTACGTTGTTTGGAATTTGAGAGGCTGGACGCGAGCACCGCCACCCCCACCCCCGCCCCCACCCCCGCCCCCGCCCCCGCCCCCGCCCCCGCCCCCGCCGCCGCCCCCGCTGCTGCTCTTGCCGCCGCCGCCGCCGCCGCTGCCACCACTGCTGCCGCCGCTGCCACCAAATGTGTCACTGCCCCTTTTAAGTGTCCAAGTGTGCTTAAGGGTTGAAATATATAGATACAGATCAGCACAATTGGAACCTTGCTAGCAACAAGCGCGTGGCAGGCAATGAGGCACATTTGCTGACATTGCGAACCCACCAAGTCTTTGGCGACTGTTTAAGGGGTAGTACCGCTGGAGTATCCATAAAAGCAAGAAGGGAAATGCTGTTATATGTGAACACATCTTGGTGTGTGCACTTGTGTGGACTGCACTCATGCTGACAGGTGCACCGGTGTCGGCGATTGTAGATGGATGTTGATTTGATGGGAACATTGTGCACTAATACTTGCACCAATGGAAGGGGGTGGCCTGGGTGCTTGTAAATCGCCTATTGCACAGGAGGCCAGGAGGAATCTATTTGGATTCCTATGCAATCTATGGTGACAATCAGGTATTCGTCTGCTGGGTCGATCCAGGGCTGCAAATCTCATAGCTTCACTGTTGAGACAGCTGCGCGGAACCTGTTTCTTGGCAAGAGGAAGCTCACCCAGCGGAATGCTTGTTGTAACCTGTGATGGGCTGTTGCTGAGTGGCAACTTGTGCATTATGGTCCATCAGCTGCAGACCAGCTCGTCTGCGAATTGCACATGAGCAACATGCCATGCTCTCTGCCCCTGCCCCCCTTCTGTCCGCCATGTTGACCTTCAGGATGAAGAATTCGAATTGTTTGTTGACAACAGGTGCATGCATTTGTGCCCTGCAGTTTTGGTATATGTTGCTGTGCCTAGCAGCCCTTGAAGCATGGCTGCAGCTTCCCATCGATGACAACACGTATGGCGAGGATATTGTGCTTAAGGCCAATGACTGGCATGCGTCCCTTGTGCCTGACTGCATGGGAGCTAAGTATCGGCCAGGGGGAGTCTACTTGGTTGCCAGGAGCATCTTGGCGATCCACAGATGGAGGCACCAGGTATCTGCATTGGCATTGTCACACATCATCATCATCGTGGGACCAAGATTGTGATGTTTGCTATTTGGCTGTGATAGACATATACAGTAGTCCTGCAGTACCTGTCACTCCTGTTGCTGCAGGTTGTGGCTGAGCCCCTGGAGACATGTGACAACAGTTTGCATCATGAATCTGCCTTTTATGGATTGGCCAATGCCTTGAGGGACCTGCCTTCTGGCAGCTGGCTAATGCAGGACTTATTTGCCTCTGAGCTATGGTAGGGGCCTAATGGAGACGATCGGTGGTCTTAGAAAAGCTACCTTTGCTTGACCAGTGTGCAAAAATGCAACATGCAAGGTTGCAACTGCATCTACTGTGCTGCTCATGTTCGGTCCCACTGCTGTGTGTGTCGTTTTCTGGGATCCGGTCTGCGGGCTCACCTACTCCATTTCTGTCAGAACAGTGTGGTTGCTTGGATGTTGCCGAGAGAAGAATTGGAGGTTGAGGAGACTAATGTTCGTGTGTTGCGGCAGAGGGTCAGGTCAGCTGGACATCTGCAAGGATTGATGTTTTGCACACACCAGCCCATGCCATTGATGCCAACGAGGGGATCGTTGGGTGCAGTCTTCGATATCAGTTCACTCTGACAATGGCTGCGTGCCTTCTTGGCGACATTGCATCTTGGTTCGGCGGGAAGCAGTTTGTTAGTGTAGTGGGTTTGTTCTTCGTTGCATGATGGTTCAGCTGCAAAGCAGTTTGCTAGTATTGTGGGTTTGTTAGCATAGTGGTGCACGACCTGTGACATTCATAAACACATGAATGTAGGGCTCTAGTGGGGGTGTGTTCAGGAAATGTATGTGGTTTGGGCATGTGGTATGGACATTGCATGTAATGATCAACCTTGCAACAAGTCGTGTCAGAGCAGCATTGCTGCAAGCTGCCGTCCAGCAGCGTTGCATCGACCCAGTGTGGGCCAATGTTGCAGCAACGCGCATCACAGCAACGTTGCAGCAACACGCATCACAGCAACGTTGCAGCAACACCCATCACAGCAACGTTGCAGCAAAACATCGGCAATAGTGCTTGACAGCAACGTTGCAACAATGGTGGTGTTGCTGCATCGTTCATATGCACGTCTTGCGTCAACGTCGCCCAATAGGAACCCGTGTCACTGTCTCCCAGCGGTACCATTACCATCAAGGCCCATCAACGTTGCTGCAAAACCATCCCAATTTCCAGATGCATACGACTGGATTTTGGCAATTACACAGGCGCACACGGGTATACCATATCCGCCACTGCCCCTGCGCCAGAAACCCACACATTCAAAACTACGATTGCCATCAGTCGTGCGCCTGAAGTCGTGGGCAGCCACCAGGCGCCTGTGCAGTGCCAATCCCAGAGGAAAAGCGGCAAGGGCTGGCGCCCAGAGGTCAGGAGATCCCGCGCGCCCTTAGCGCACGCAGCCAGCAAGCAACACAAAATACACCATCGACCCCAGCGGCAGCGGCGATGCTTTTGAGGGAGAGGCGTCGGGCCCCTCCCCGCCAAGCCTTTAGGCGAGAATTAAAGCAACACACCAATGCCCTTCTAGCAGCCAGCCTGCCATTTGGCTGCGAGCATGGAACACGGCCTGTTGAGGCCCTTGAGGCGCCACAGAAAGGAAAATTGGAGAGAATTTTCTTCGCAAACAGTGGAGAGAGCCAAAAACATTTGCGTGTCCCGTCAAGCACCAGAGCCACTTGCACCCTGAAAGAACCACCACATCACGCAAAGGCATGAGTTCTGCCTTCCACTTTTGAGGCCTTGCCAGAGCGCTCTTAAACTGCACCAGACCATACCTTGCTTCTAGAACAGGAACATTAACAGCGATGAATTTAGGGGGGCTGGGCCGGGGGGCCATTAGGCAGAACTACCAGATTGCCAACGCAGCAGGTGAACGCAGCGTGCACCATAGTAGGCGGCGACCTTGCAAGTCGTTCGGCGTTGCAATAGTGTTGTGGGGCTGGACCTGGCGGAGAAGCGGGTGGAGTCAGGAGCGATTCTGCGGCGAAGTCAGGTGGCAAACGCAACGATTCGTTGTCTGATGCCATCGACGTCAATCCACAGTGAATATTGCGCGCACAAGCTTCAATAGGTGCCAAGTCCAGTATAAGCACCACTGCTGCCGATCTTGAAGCGTGATTCGTGCTGCCTGGCAACGGCATGGAGGCTGCGATCTCCTGATGTCCAGGTTCCAGCCCTTTCTGCCTTTGCTTTTGGGTTGGCACAGGGGGTCACAGGGCGGTACAACGGCTTCACAGCAACCCCAGACTTGGCTGCAGAGACGGGGTGCTCGTGATTCTGAGTGCCGGAGGGGCGCAGGGCTGGATACGACACTAGCAAAAAAAAGACCAAATAAAACTTTTGTGAACACACATAAAACACATTTCATTAAAGTTCTACATGCTAAGAACATGAGAATAACACAAAACCGTAAGCTTTGTACACGTTTGAACTCGTGTTATTGGACCTTTTCTTCCCAGTGCGATGCACGACGCATCGGGCATACGGGTGACTGGCTCCCTTCGCTGACTGTATATAGTTCCACCCAGGATTTGGGCACACGAAAGAACCGATTTGTTAAATAACCGACGCCCTTGAAGGACGACGTACTTATGAGACACTTGAAGCCATAGGGCAAACGACAAGGTGTTAAAGCCCATGCAAGGTCCTCGACCTCTGAACTGTGTGGTTCTAAAGAACCACAGCAAGGAAGTTCTTTCCTTGGCAGCTTGCTTAATCCGACAAGCACGGCTGGCAATAAAGTGCTGCCACCCATTTGGGGAGCGGCCACGTCTGCCAGACATGCCCAGTGGGAACGTGTTGGGAATATTTCAGCACCCCTGCTGACTTGTACTTTTGCTAACGATGGGGTGCCCGATCGATTTGGCTGAGACGTGCTGCAATGTAATATCTGTGTCAACGAACTGCTGAGATTGGTGACGTTTGATGCAATGCACCGTGTACAGTGCGTAAATTACCGCTCGCTTCTTGTACTGTAGTGAACTGGTGCACAGCCACCAGCGAGCAAATAACTCAACTTTACAGACAGTAAGGAAGACATGGTGAATTGGCCCCGCCATGCAGCAACCATTTGCCACGGCTCCCCTTCACAAACGTGGGGAGCTCGAGCTCGAGCCCAAATGCAGGAAGCCTTCCATTTGCGCATTTTCGAATTAGAGCAGTTGGTTGTTTTGCTGACATGCATTGTCTGACATAGGTCATGTTGCAAAGTTCTGGCCGGGTAAGTTGTCCGAGCGAGCATTCCTGTTGGTGTTCCACGACGATCATAATTGAAATCTAATTCGGACGCAAGTCGGCAATTTGGATGGAAGGGAAAAACTGGTCTTGACAGCTGACCACACCTCTCCACATTTCAAACTCCATCAAGCCCGCCTCTCAACCTGACGACAGCCACAACACGGTCAAGCCGCATGCTGATGTGCCCATGCGCAATTACGATCACCCGCCCCGCCGCATGGCATCACCGATTTTGGGAGCGGCCCTCCACCGACCCGCGCGCCCACCCCTGACCCGGGGTTTTAGCTACGGGCACAAGCCGGGGCGCTGTAAAGCCCCAGTCAGAGCCCGCCACATTCCGCCGCCTCCCCGCGCCACCTCGCGGCACTCCTCCGGACGCCTCGGACGTGGGAGCCCCTTGCGCGTCCCCTGACGTCGGACTTCACCTCGACTTCACACGCAGGCACCAGTCCATTGAATCGAGCCCCGTGCAGGTGCGGCCTGGCGCCTGCGCTGCCGCCCGGCTTTCCTCCCCAAGGCGACCGGCGCTGGTCGGTGCCCAGGCAGTGGATGGATATTCTCCGCGCGCGTGGGCGCCGCTGGGGCCGCTCGAGCCGCGTCTGTTGGTTTTGGAAGGAGGGCAGGGTGGGGTCGGAACCGGGTGTTGCGGCGTAACGTGCCTTCCCGTGGGCGGCAGCTGCAGGCGGCGACTCTGGGCCTGCGCCGTAGCCCCGCATCCGGGCGATCGCCGCCCGGATGCCCAGTCACCGGCGCGCCTCAAAAACTGTCACTCTCACCCCCCCTTTCTTTTCTCGGGCCTCGCGGGGCCCATCAGCTGGCGTCGGACTCGGGGGACCGACGGCAGTAGGGGGCTGTCGTCCCAGTTCTCCCCTTGTGGTGGCTCGCTGGCCATCACGGAACGCCACATATTCACTCCCGTTGCCCTTGCCGCGGCCTCGCACGGGCGTTCTCCGCCCTCCTGCGCCAGGCGCCTGCCGGCGCAGAGGTGCCTTCGTTCCGGACCGCCCCGCGCCCCCGGTGTTGGGCAACTCGTCTTCGGGCCGTGGAGCCAACGCATCCCTTCCGGCGGCCTTGGTGCTGACGGCGGCCATTCGCTGATGCTCATCACCCCGCTCGCCTATATTGCAGGAGCCCAGGTCTAGGTGCACGGGCGAGACGCGTGCAGCCCATGGCCGCGGAGCGCCGCTGGGCGCCCTTCGGAGCGGCGCTCGTGGCGCTGTTGATCTGGTCAACGTTCCTCTCCGCCAGGTTCGCCTATCGGCAACATCATGCCGTCCCAAACTTGCCTTGATCGTCGTGTTCTGGGGACCCCAGGCCGGCCGGGCCTGTCTTCGTGCGCTCCAGAAGAATCTGCTCTCGTCTCGACGGCACTCGTGCATGTTCTGCCCCGTTTCCTTGCGGAGGGATGCGCGCTTTTGGTGATGGGAGGCGTTGGACGCTGTTGGTCAATCTCCTGGCCGTTGGTTCGCCTGCAACATCTTCTGCCTTTGTCGTTCCTCGTAGTCTCCACAGACTCTCCTGGGTCGCTTCTGGAATCGCGCCGCGCTCGGAAGTGGCGGCAGTGGGTTGGATTTTGTATTCCCCAAAGCATGGAAAGAACACATCCAGCATTGCACATCCAACGCACGCTGGGTGGTAGCGAGCGGTTGTGCTGCTTAAGGACTTGATTTCAGCTTGCTTGAGTCTTGCTTCTGCCCCGCTGATTGCATTGTTTGTCGTCTGGTGTCCTGTGTTGGTGGGACAGACCTGCAGGATACTGTTACAAGGAAAGAACACTATCAATGTTTCACCTTCTGCACACCCTTCTGCACACTCTGGGTGTCAACTACTGTTAGTAGCCCGCGGCCTGGTTTAAGACTTCACACACAGTGAGACAGCACAGTGAGCCTCATTTGCGCACTCTGAGTACTTTGTAGCTGGTGTCCTCTGTGGGTGCCACAAACCACGAACATCGGAACTCATCGGAAAACATGTCCTGAACGAATGTTGTCTATGCTTGTTCACTGGCGAAATTCGACATCGCAAGGCCTGATGCCAGCTCGGGAACTCATCAATCTGGCAGACATGCCCGGCAGAAGTGTAGGCAACCTGCTATTCTGGCAGATGTCCCAGAGTCCAATGCGCGCACACTTGTGCCTTATGGCGAAGGGCTTGTGGTGCTTGCCACAAAGGTATTGTTGCATGATAGGCTTGGAGGGCGGCATTCGCCAGACGCTGTTTGACTTGGAAACATGGTCGCCAGGGGCACAAGTTCAAAAGTTTGTGCAGACAAGCTGCTTGAGTGCGGTGCATTCCGTTCCTGACACTGGTTCAAGAAAACACATCTGGCGATTGTCCGACCTGTGGAATGCAAGTGAACGTCAGAATTGAGCCAGCAGGACATGATATTCGTAGAGGGTTCAAATGCTCATGATGCAGAACAAGAAATGACGACCCTGACATCCCCAGATCCCTTCAGATAATATTGCGGAACACACTGATTGTGCAACACGATTCTGCATACATAGTATGCATCACATTGGCCACGACCAGTGCATGTGCGGCCTCCCACCCACTAACACATTATCCTGCTGAGGGAGGGGTCTCATGTCAATAGTTGGGCCAGCCTGACAAATGCTGATGCTGGCTTCTATGCAGTTGCCTCCCATATGAGGGGGATGGCTCATATGAATGGAACGAGGTGCACAGTGTCCAAGTTGAGGAAGACAGCTCCAAGGGGGTTTGCTTTAGGAAAGGGGCGACGACGTGTGTGAAGTACCAGATCAGGGCAAACAAGACAATCCTGGCATTTGTGGCACTGAGAGCCGATGCAAAGGCCTCTCTTGATGGGAGCAGAATGGTGGGTTGGATTTCATCTGGTGGGAAAATGTGGCCAAAGGTTGAGCCTGCTGATGTGGGCTCACACATCAGCATTCCATCGTAGTATTGTTCCCAGCCCTTTTCCTAATGTTCCTATCAAGCAGGCCACAACCCATTGTTGTTCCTTGTATCTCATTTCTTGCCAGCTGTCCTCACTGCCGTTGTCAGGCAACACCAGACACTTGTGCTGATGACTGCACAATGTAGGTGCCGTAACAGTGGCATTCGTGTTTTGCATATTGCACTGTACTGCATGTACTTTTCTGTACTTTGCTGTACACTGAAATTTCCTTGAATACATTCATCTTGAATTGTGCTCAAAAGAAATTGAGTATACGACAAAGTGCAGGTAATTGCTTGCAGCACAGTATATTGAAAATGCATCTGTACTTGCTGCACACTGCATCGCAAGTATGGCACAGTGTACGCAGTACAGTGTACTGCTTGTTGTAAGTGCCAGTGAAGAACTGAACCAGGTGTGTGTTTGCTAAGAAGTGCATAACGTACCCAACTCGTGCTATGAGTGTGGGTGCAATGAAGTCCGTCATCTCTTTTCAGATTTTGGGCAGTGCTTTGCTGTTCCTTGCTAATGAGAATCAGATATACAAGTGCTTGATAATGCACAAATAGTTCGGGAATGATACAAACAATAGAGCTCAGGCAGGGCAGCGAATCTGGCCAGAGGATCTTGGGCATGCACGATGTGCGCAAGTGACCAGGAGACGATCTCAAACATTCAGTGAGTTGCGTAGACAAGGACAGATGTGGAGCGCAGTTGCACATGTGCTGCGCAGCAGTGTCATAGCAAACCACAAGTGCAGGATGTGCATTGATTGTTGTTCATAAGATTGCACAGGAAAATGGCACACTTGCTGATGGAGGCATTGCACAAGATTATTGTGAGCAAGAGTAAGATATGGCCATGGCACAGTCTTGAATATGATCCTTGCAATGTGCCCAGTATTGCCCACCTAAACCCTGTGGAAAAATTGGAATGAAGACACAGAGGACAGTACAGTTGAGGGAACGACATTGAAACCTGCATGCAGGTGCTGGCACTGTAGTTCGTTTTTGCTGAACTGCATACTTCTCAGCAGTTGGGTTTAAGGTACACCAGCTGCCAAAGAGGTAAAATTGCATGGCACTGATTGGATGCCCTAGTGGTGTGCCCCCATTTGCAGGTGAAACATGTCAAGGGCAGCGTCTGCAGTGGCAAGACATGCAACGTGGACGTGGGGGTTTCCGAGAAGCACTCTTATTGCCTCGTGATGCTCAACAGGAATAACGATGCCCCAGAATTCAAAGACGCCTCACCATCGAAAGCCGAAATCCGTTTCAAAGTAAATGGTGAGCCCTGTTGCACTTGCCCGGAAGTTGGTCGCTTGGTGACACCCATTCAGGCACGAGAGTCGTTTGGTAACATGGTACCTTAGTGCTGTTGCACATAGCACTAATCAGGTCCTGGTTCACTTGGGCGAATGGAGGATTGGATTCAACAGATGAATAGCCTTGGCTGATCTTGGGGACTATCGTTTGTCATGGCTTTTGCTTCCCCACTTGCAGTGGTTGTGAAGACTGTCGCCTGTGAGCTGGAAAGCAGCTCACCATGATAGCTCAGGGGTGGCGTGCCTCTTTGGAAACATGCTGCAGCGGTGGAAGCCCACTGACCAGGGAGGCTAGAGTTTGAGCTGTGTGTCTTTTCTTGCATTGTTTATGTCCCATTGTTAGGACCTGGTTACTTTTCCCAGCACATGGATCAATAGCCAAACCTTATTATTGTTCATTCCCCAGTGCTAATATGTGCTGCTTACCTTGTTGATCCAGTACTGTAACTGGATTATCACAGAATGGGAACGAATTGAAGCTTGTACCCTCTGAGGACCATTTTGCCTTGTACCTTGAGCGTTTCCATGTTGGAGATCTGCACTGGTGTAGACGCTGATTGTAGTCATCTACGTTTGGGAGTCACTGCCCTTGTCATCTTTGAGGCAATGCTGCCAGTAGTGGCCACTGCTGGAAGATGGTTGTCAGTCGGCACTCTGCTTAGTGCAAACTGTTCTTGCAAGACTGTGGCAGCTTGTCAGAGCTTCCTGGCCCAAAATGTGTTGAAACGCTACTGTGTCCATGACTCTTCCTTGGTCTACTGCTCACAGCTGACAACCTGATCTGCCTGTTGACCATTCCACATGTCTGTTCTGTGCAGGCTGTCCCAGCACGCTGTGGGCAATAATTAGCGTAGTTATTGTAATCCTCTTGATGATAGCGCTGGTTGCCTGCTGCAGCGTGTGCTGCATGCACTTTGTGCGCAGGCGAAACCGCCAGCGAATCGCGCATCAAATGAATCCAGTGATTCAGTTGGGCCCCAACACAACGCTGCCGCCTGGGCCCATGTACCAGGCGGACGTCAGGCCAGGCGTCCCCCAGGCAGGCCCTGGGGAGCAGTACCCCCAAGTGGCCATCGGAACGCCACAGCCGCAATCCATACAATTTCTCGAGGCGAAGTTGTAAAAGAGAGCTGTGGGGCTTCGGAGACGTGTTTTGTTGCAAGTCCTCTGATTTGATTCACGGGATAGAGCGAGCCCAGTCACCTGCAAGGCAATGTAGGCTTGGACTTGAGTGGCCACGCTGTTGGCCAGAAATTGGGTGAGACGGAATAAGGGGAACCCATAACGCTGGGGTGCGTTGCATCAAGGGCTGTGGCTGCACTGTGCCGCAGCGCATGGACTGCAGCGGCCTGCCTCTTCCGCCGTTGTGGAGGTTGAGTGTGCCGCCCTGCTGGCAGGCAAGGCGGGTGTAAACCACGCTTTTGTAGCTGCTGTCCTGACTGTTTAGGAGCGGTGGAGCATGTTTATGGCGCACTGGCGCTGGCAATTGGAACATTGGCAGCTCTGCAGTGGCTGCTACTTTGGGGGGGTGCGGCCTTTGTTAAAGTTCACCAATGTATACGTTCTGTGCAGTTTGTAGCACTGTATTGGTGAGGCGGTTGTTGTGATCCTGCATTTGGGAACTGTGCTCGGTGGGGTGGGGTGGGGGATTTGGCGTAAACGCGAATGATGGTGATAAATCTAGCGTTTTTGGTTTCCGACGGCAGGAATTCATTGACGTCTGGAGCCACAACTGACTGATCCCGATTGCACAATTTTTGGCCATTCGTCTGCCAAACGCTCATGATTGAAGTAGTGTGGTTGCGCCAGGCGAATGGCCAATAGTGGCGAGGACAGGGTGAAGAATCGGCTTAGGATACCCCTTTGTCGCATATTCTTTCGCAGCGCGCCTCATGCTAAGCTTTCTTTGGAACTCTGTGCATGTTGGTGTGGCGGCTGCAAGGGGTCAAAAACTTCTAGGATCATCCGAGCGGGAACAAAGTTCCAAGCTCCGATGATGCTGGGATGATCCCAGAGTTTTTTGGACCCCTTACAACCGCCACACAAACATGCGCGAAGGGAATACAGCTACTCTGCCAAAAGACTGCGGCACTGGCCAGCCACGGATCCCAGTTTCTGTCGAAGCCCTTGACAGGAACTCCATTTGTGGTATGTCACTGGAAGTTGGTGATGAAGCTTGTGGACCATATTGTGTTGCGGATGCTCAGCGGAACGCATGAGAGACTGGCGCACACGGCTGCATGTGAGACGACCGAGTGACTTTATTGCGGGTGTGCACCCACTCTGGAAGTGCTTCTGAACGTAGAAGTTCCGTTGGCTTTCAGTTGGCGCTGTTGATATGAGTGAATATTCTCGACCATTGGGCGTGGATGGGCTAGTGCCCATGATCGCATGGCAGGTGCATGGTCGGTGCTTTGCCAGGATAGGCCAATATAGAATTGGATTGATTGCAGGTGTTTTATTCGCTGTGGCCCCAGCTCGATATCGCTGAATATAACAATCCCAACCTCTACATGCGCCAGTTGCGCAATTTGTCTTCCATTCAATGGCATCCATTTTCATGAATGTGCGAATCGCTGTTGCACCCTTGACACATTTACATTGTACATGGACACAACTCTCACGTCGGGCCCCTTCCTAGCAGCACATGCTCATGCAAGGTAATTGATTCACCCCCATGGATAAAAACTCGGTTACCCTCTGGCCAGTGCAGTGCCAGTGATGTCAAGAAAGAGCGTGTTTCCATTCCAATTTGGCGCTCCATTATTCGAATTTGGCCTGGCAGATGGCGGCTCAGAGCTTTGCCTCCTCCAAGTCTTTGATCATAATATCTGCATGAGCAAATGCGCTGGATTTAGATTGCAAAAGGAAGAACAGCGCGTGGAAGATTGCGGGCAAAAGACAATCGGCAGAAAATTGCACCATTAAATTTCATTCCAACACGGAGCTCAGTTGCAACACACGGTATTTTGTGACCTATCACTGTTTAGACACAAATCGAAAACTGCGCAAAATGGCCAAGGCACGTTTCTACGATGCGCACAGTGACTGACGCTGCTGTTTAACTGCGAATTGAATAGGAAATTTCCAATTTAATGCGCAGTTAAATTCGCAGAGGCAATTTTAATTTCCTCTGAGAATTACCGAATGCAATCCTCCATCGATGCTCGCGGTCGCAGCTCTGGAGCAGCTTCGTCATCTTCATCGGAGTCCTTGACGCAGCCATCGGGAACGCTCCACAGATCGCCGTCCTGGCCGATGCAGCTCTCCGGCAGAAACGACTCGCAAATTCGCTCAACCTGTGCGCATGGTTTCGAGACTGACTGCGCAAGTAGCTGCCTGTGGCCGCAATTGCGATCGACAGAGGTGAAGGGCGATGCACCCTGTTTTCCTTTTAATGCACCCTGATTTTAATCATTGCAAAACGGCAGCATTTTCAAGGGAGCGGATTGCATTTGTGGTTTCTGCAGTTCAGCACTGCGGCGCAGTGCCTGAGCGACCCCAAATTTGTGGCAAGTCATTTGCACAGCAACACCACAGGCATGCTCGGTCGTTACGGCGTAAACAGCGAGGATTTAAAAATAGCGTTTACGTTTTATGCATAAATTTGTGTAAAAATATGTAAATTCTGACCGCTGTACATAAGGACAATACATGCGGGACCAGGGGGCCCGGAGAGTGGCAGCTAGACGCGCTGGAGTGGCCATGAAAGTATCTCCTATTCGACCACGTCTTTGTCTTGCTGGGGAGAGGTGGAAGCTGCGTTGCGGGTGCTGGAGGTCATACTTTGCGAGTTCATCATGCTACATGGGTGTCCTGACGAGCTGCAAAAATAGGTAAATGCAGCCGGGAAAATAGCCCCTTTTGCACGTTCACACGTAAAAGAATGAACGTAAGATGGACGTAAACGTAAACGTGAAAATCAAGCACGACCACATAACCACCCGCGCAAAGTGGATATTTTCCACCATTTTGCAAATTTCATTGTGCTGCAAGCCCCGGACCAGCGGTGCCCCAAATGCGAACTTTAAAAATTGAAACTCTCGACACGCTTTGCATCCTGCAAAATCTCCCAGGTGTCGGATACTCACCAGCGGCGCGGCCTCGCCCGTGGTGTCGTCCAGCGCATCTCCCACCACCCCCATCCTGACCACGCGCGCGATATCCCGTGGTCGAATTCGACGACTCCCCTCCTCTCCCCTCTCGGGGAGCAGCGCCTTGGACAGAAACTCCACTGCCCATAGCAGCGCGTGCGGGCAAGGCCTCCACCCGCTCTCCTCCCTCTCGTCCATTCTCCCCTCCATCCCATTTTCCGTCTTCCCATTCGCCCCCGCTGACGTCCCAAGCCCCGGCAGGTGCGCCAGGACGGCTTGACACAAGGCCGCGCCTAGTCCAGCCCTCTGCACCGCGGCCACCCTGGACGGCTTGTCCCTCGGAGATTCCGTCAGCTGCCTTGACAGATTATGAGGAGACGGCGCATGAGGGCCGGGGGCGTGGGGGGAGTGGGCCTTAGGAGACTGGGGCGCGGGGAAGGTGTGGCCAGTGCTGTTGTGTTGGGGACCAGGAGGCGGCAAGGTGGACGCCTCCCGGCCACTGACAGCCACCCCGAAGAAGGGCTCGGAGGCGCAGTGGAAGGTGGCGATTGCGTCGATGGCGCGGGCGTCGAGGGTGGGCTGCTGGTCCACGCACATCACGGCCGATTGCGACGCCACGAAGCCTGATTTAGAGACACGGTTAGAACATTGTTCGTGTGAATTCGCTGCCTTGGCATCTGATGCTTCTTAAGCCTCTTTCTGTGTATCCTTGTATGCCTGACTGCGTTGATGCTTACCCCGGTATGCGAATAGTAAACAGAATTCATCGGTCGAGCAGCGAGGCCGAAGGTTGCGCACCCCGTCGGCGTCGCTGCTCCACCGGGGAGACCAAGTCCCTGCAAAATGCTTGCGGTGTAAGCTCCAAATCGCGCAATGAGCGTATCAAGCAAAGGGTGTCGTGCAGCTATTCCTATTCGGGCTGAATATTTGACTGCCACTTGCAGATGAAGCCTTTCCATGCAACAGTTTCACATACAAATCCCGACGCAATGCAGTGCGAGTTCCAAAGTTCTGTTCGCTTGCTATATTGGCGCTGTTCCACGTGTCTTGAAATATTTGGAAATGGGAATATCCTTGCACCTGGAATTTCTTCCAGCCTTTCGGACGACGTGCACAGCCACAGGCGGAAGTTTGTCGGCTCCCTCTTCGCCGCCAAGATCTGAACTTCGCGAAGGATGTCCTTGCATCCACTGCCATCTTCATGGGCCTCAAGAACAGCTACCCAGTGGCCCTTCTCTATGGCTTGCCCAATTTTCTTCATGGCATTTGCACGCGTGGAGGGGCACAATCCGATGGACACGAGTTGGGAAGGGGCCACGACAGTTGCACGCGTGGGGTAGGAGTCATCGGCCACGACGGCACCGAAGTCGACATTCTCCTGCGAATGCACCCACCGGCGCAGGACCCATAAGGGTTCTTCATCTGCAGTTTACAATGAACACACACAAGTAAGCGTCAGTGGACATTCGACGCCGGGTACTGAGCAGCCGATGGTACCTATCGCAAAAAACTTTGGCGATGATTGTCGGAAAGATATGATTATGAATTCCCTGTAAATGCGCACAGATGCTCTTCTGTATCATACTATCTTAGCATGCTGCGGCTTGCCAAATACCCAATATGTAATGACCATCCTGTGAATTGAAAGCAATCCTGTAAAACAGTTCCTTTAGACTGTCTCAGAAAAGGCAGAAGTGATGCATCAGCAACATCAAATTTATTAGAGAATGCCCTCATATTGTCTCAAGGCTGATTGGATAAATTAGTAATGTCGCTGTAAACGATGGAATTATGTTCCTATTGACCGATCATTAATGAACAATAAATGCCATCATGATTTGATCATTAGATCTGTGGTAATATTCTCAAAGGCCTGTGCGAAGATGGACAATTGTAGTTGCAGCCTTCTGGACAGAAAACCACATGTTGAATCTAAACTGGAGACCACGCCCTCAAATAGTACCGATAACAAACACACGATTGTGCAAAGCAACATTGCCAATTTGTTACAGTGCCAGTAAATGTTCAT